AAATTGCTTAGAAATAGAAAACACGAGTTGATCAAAGAAGTCAAACAAGATTTTATTTTAAACTAATCAAAATTATTATAAAAATATAGTCGGTAGAGAATGGTTACGAATTTTAAGGTATTTTAATTCCATTCATATTTGTGGAAAATAAAATATTATATTAATTTAATTTTCTGGTTAAGCATAAGAAAAAATAATCATTGTTAAATGACAACATCATATAGAACTCTCGTTTAGTCCCATTAAATTTCATTTCATTTTTTTCTCTCATATTTTCAACAACACGATTTTTCATAAAATAATATTACACGAAAATCGAAATTTTTTCATTCTTTTTCAATCACTCATTTTTGAAATAAAATACTATTCCTCCCATTTATTTTCAAAAAATAAGGGTCAAACGGGGGTTGAATGTGAATGTGAATGTGAATTAATAAATAATTGAAAAGGGTGAGTTTTATTTTTTGTTAAAATAATATAACTAAAAGTTCAATGTCCACTTTGATAATTATATCATACTTTAAAATTCAAAGATGTAGCATCATTAAGTATTGCAAGTGGAGAAACCTCATAAGCCACCTTCTCCACAATTCATTTGTTGACCAAAATATCATTTTTGATTTTAATTTATTTAAAATTGTCACACTTATGATTTGAAATATTAAAAAAAATTAAATATCACTAGATATCCAATAAAATTATAACGCATTATTTGAAAATGGAAAAAAAAATACGCCAATAAAATTTCACTTCAAAGAAATAAAAATGTGCCAAAAAAAAAAAAAAAAAGGAAGATTGTTGAGAGAAAATTGGCAAAACTGTCAATTTTTAGAGGATATTTAGTAGAATAAGATGTGGTAGCCATTGAGCAAACAAAATCCAGGTGGTCTGAAATATGGCTGCCACCTTCAATGGTCGCTGTCCACCGCCGTCAGCCGCACCACAGCCACCACTCATTTGTTCCACCACTTACACGTGCATTTGTCTTCTCTTCGTACATTCCATACAAACAATGCATCCACTGTCTTAAGACTCTTAGACTTCTAATATACCCGTCGGCATTTCAATGCAAACTTGGGTATTGTCGGTTCCGTTAAATGGTCACGCGTGTCCAACCAATAGAATGTTTTAGTTTGTTGAAAGGAAAGTAATTTTTTTTTTTTTATTAAGACGATATACTTGATTAATCAACGTAACAAACAAACATCTCACTTCCTTAATCATAGAATGTATTAACCATGTCGAAGAGAGAGTGATTAATATAAAAATTGATTAATCGACATAATAAACAAACACGTATCTCACTTTCTTAATCATGTTTCATGGGAGGATTTACGGGTGACATTTTACGAACGGGATTTTTACCGATTGAGTTTGCATGTCATTTTGGATTAAAATTGTTGAATGTAACTTTCAATTAGCAGAATTGCTAAACGATGAGGTCATAGTGACGATTTAAAAATAGTTGCAAGAAATGAATTTAATAAATCTAATTCGCGGTCGGCTTCACCTCTTTTGGCATATTTTCAATTTTCAAGCCATATTTCTCGATTGTCGGACATTCCCTTGGTATCCGTTTTGAAAAACTAGCAACCAGCTATGTGATGCGTATTTCGAAATGAAAAATCATTAAACGATGAATTTAAAATAGCTATCTAAAGACGATTACTTAAAGGGTCTAATATCTATTTTATTCCTGCTAACTTTGAAATCGACTTAAATAAAATTTTATTTGACATTAATTGATACTATATAGAAATATAAAAAAATTTCATGTCGTAATCTAAACATGCTATCAAAATTTGTAAATGTCAAAGTTTGAATGGAAAAATAAAAATGCTAAGACTTATGTGCTATGCATGCAAAAATTGACAAGTTGAAATTTTTGACATTTTAATTTGACTAATTTGAATAGTCAATTGTCCCCATATTCTTTTAATTAAAGAGAGTTTGTACATACCATTTCCGCCTTTTTAATGTAATATTATGTCACATTTCATGAGCCTTTGTGGTACAACTTTTGTGAAGAAAAAGAAATTATAGTTTATTTATTTATTAGCTAAAATTGTTTGGAGCAGAATTCTTGCTCGTAAATATGAATGTACTACAGTTTATTATATCAAACAAGTAGAAATAAATAAATAAATAAAACTCCATTAATGCGTAAATTATAATATCGCTTTTGAGAAATTATAAATTTGACATCACGTTTTCTTATTTGTTGACAAATAAATAATTTACGGTGACGTAACAAAATTCAACTATTTATTATTAAAATAATAGAAATTTCTAATAATTTTTGTGTATAAATTGTGAAAGCAATTTCTTTACCCATCCAAGTGGCCAGGCCAAGAATTAAATTTCTTTAACTTGAGATAAGAATTTTTTTCTAAATTACTACATGTTGAAGTTGAAGATCTAAACAATTAATCACATAGGCGTTTAGAGCAATATACCTATCGCGTGATTAATTTCTTTCGAATTGCATCTTCAATCTAATGGCCAGATGACCAAGGAAAAGGCCTTGGGCCTCAATTTTTGACTTGGATCAAGGGCCTCAAACGTTTTGTGGGTATAGTCCCCGTTTGGCTCCCATTTTGTAGAAAAATTAATGAGCTGAATAGTATTTTTTTGAAAAATGAGTTATTGAAAAAGAATGAAAAGTTTTCAATTTACGTGTAATATTATTTTATGAAAAATTGTGTAGTTGAAAATAAAAGAGAGAAGATAAAATGTAATGTAATGAAAATTAATGGGGCCAAACGATAGCATAATTAATTTCACATAACACAAATTATGTAATGAGTAGCCTCGAGTAAATTCTTAGACCTATTCTTGAATTCTCATCTCCAAACGCCCAATGATTCGACTTTCTCCTATGGTATTTGAGTCTGATTCAGCCCAACCCATTTCTTGCCTGCGAAACTTGGTAACAAAAGTAGGGTTTCTTTCATTCTTTGCTTCCTTGGGGATTGCGGAATTGGGATTGAAAGCATCAATTATGCACCCGATTAAGGACTTTTAAGTAGATTAGTATACGACCGAAGATAATTTGAATTTGAATTCCTGTTTAAGATAATTTGAATTTTTTAAATTTTTATGAACTCTTCTAAATCTTACTTTATAGTATAAATGTTGTTTGGTTATTTCTTGCATGTTGACGATTGAATTCTTTGCTTGGCGATATTTGGAAACCTGAACTCATCAACTTGGCGATATTTGGAAACCTCGAACTCATCAATTAAGTTCTATTGTTCATGTCCAGTGGAAAATTTGAATGTGAATCTTCCAAAAGAAAATGGAATAAAAATGTTGAACAATTAATTAAGAGCATATTTGGTACAACTTAAAACCCAATTAAAATCAATTTTTTGATTGTTATTTCACTATTTTAGCCGTCATTTTTGAATTCTTCTCTCACAGATAGGACTCACTTTGTCTCTAACGGTCAAAAAATCAATTAACAAAATCCCTACCAAACAAGCACTAAATCTTAAGAGAGAGCCATTGATAAATTTTTTAGTGATAGTAAACAAAATTATAGGGCCTCATAATAATTAGTTGTTTAGGGTCTCAAAATTCTCAAAGCCGACCTTGCAATCAATAATCTTGAGTTTCTTGAATTGCTTCGATCTCTTGAATTTTCTTTAGCATTCTCTGGATTCAAATTGTACCTGATGAACGCTCGCCAAGATCCGAGCAAGAATTCAAAAAATAAGAGCCAAGTTGAAAAACACAAGAATTATTAGTTATCAGAGATCAAGAAAACTTTTCATTTAAATAAGTCTTGTTTCCTTGTTCAAGAAAGCTAAGGTTATTGTAGTATTTTCAGAATTCGAAACTTAAGTTCTTAGCAACATATAACTCTTCAATTACACGGTCAAAAACTTATGGTCAAATCCAATTGTTTGGTCCCTCGAACAATTATTTTTCATATTGTCAAATATTTGACCAATGAAAATAGATGACGACTGTATGATCAAATTGATTAGGTCATATAAAAACAAGGTCCAAGGCTATTAGCTTGTTAGGATACCTCAATCACATGCAGTATTGCACTTTCACTTGAGACTCGTCATAATGATAAATAGTATATCCCATGATTCTCTTGAATATTCAATACTTATTTCACGCCATCCTCACAAGGATACAGATCATGTCGGGTATGCCTAAGCCTAAAGAAGGAAGCAAACATTTTTGAAATTAAGTAGTAAAAATGCAAATATTTTTCCATTCACCAAACCCTCCAAGCATGCTCCTGTTTCATTTCAATCTCTCTCTTTCATCTCGTCTCCGGGGTAGATTGCTGGATTCTAGTTAGCTGGTCCAATGAACCTTTCACTTGGTGTTACCATGGCCACGAACTTTAATTTGTTTCATTATGACCGATGAACCTTTCACTTAGTGTTACCATAACCATCGGACTTTATATGGTTAATAGCAATTGCGGTCCCTAAATTTGAACACTTCGATAAAATGTACTTTACCTATGAACAATTTAAAGTTCGTGGCAATGGTGAGATGAAGTGGATGGTTCGAAGGCCATGGTCAAACAAATTAAAGTTTGGTGGCAATGTGTGACCAAGTGGAAAGACAAGTGGGCATGGGTGAAATTGACCCAATCAAAAACTAATAGTATGATGATACGATCACACTTCCTCAAACTAGGATTTCGGGTTATAAAGTATCACATTCTAAGCACTTAATCTATCATGCAATGTGAAAAATACATATCCTTAAACTCGCAAAACGAAACATGGGACAAGAAAATAAAAAGTAACAACAAATGACAGGCAAATATTTGGTGACAGAGGGGATATAAAGGTAGCAACTGTAGAAGCAAAATGTACAGCAGAAGAAAGATTGATGCAAGATTTGTGCATGAAAGGAAAGCATTTCTCTTCCTTTATAACACTTTAATCCCAAAAGTCAGCAAAATTTTCTGATATCAAAACCTTGTGAGTCTCAGCTTTTCTGCAATCTTGTCCTCGAAGAAAATGTGCAACAAAACCATAAGAAACCCAAGGATTTCTTCAGTCACTTTACTACAGAATTTGGTAATATATTACATTTTAATAAAAAAATTTCAAGTGCTTTACAAAAACAATCGACAATGCAATTCAAGAAATGATATACAAATGAAATTGGGATCTAGAATTATTGGCAATTTTAGCACAATTTTGATAATCTTTACGGCTTTACCTCACGAGACCGATTATTTATCCCACCAAGGAAATGACTGCTTTTGTAGGCTCCAATTCGATTTTTCGTGTTAATTATGACAAATAACAGTCCCAAAATAATCAAATCTAATCTCATCGCCATAGATATAGATAATTCAGCCATAGACACCACAAAAATAACAATGATCTATGAAATCCCAGTTTTTCAGCTGCCGCCACCGATCGAATTTCCATCCCAGCCGGTGATGCTGGACTGTACATTCCAGGCTCTGGAGAGAGTGCAATATCTGGGGGCTGAGCACCTGCTGTTACAGGCTTGTCCACCTCAATTGGATTCTTCCCAAAAATTTCTCGGGGCAACAAAACTTTGGACACCCCAAAAATCGCCACTGGCTTCTGATCAAACACCGTTTGCGTCACGGACGCCTGCACTATTCCGGTATCAATGCCCACTGACCCGTTAACCCGACTGATGTTTAACGTGAAACTCGTAGCCCCATATTGCTCCGTCGCCAATGTGGGTTGAACCGGATTCACTATTGACTCCAAAGAACCTAATGGGTAGTAACAATTCAAAACGTGGAATCTCAAAACCTGTGCTTTTTGGTCAGCCGGTAGAGACTGAAGCTTTACCGATGAAGGCAGATCGGCAAATGCGCCATCAGTTGGAACGAAAAGTGTGATTCCGGCACCACTCTCATGGGCTTCAAATTCAGACACAACCCCAGATGCTTGAAGCATCGATGCCGCAACATTGAATTGGTGCCCATCGATTAGTGCCTTCGTAATATTGAGCCCCAAAGGCGGGCGAGTATCAGAAGCCATTAGATCTAGATTGTAAGGGACTAGAAGCGAATTAATTGAGAAGATCGAGATGTTGTAAGGAAGAGTTTTAATTAGGGCAAGGAGAGTAGCATTAGATGTAGGGGAGTAGATAGTGACGGCATTAGAAGAAGGGTTAAACGTTATGTTAACGGTGCCGGAGTTCGATGCAGCACGCCCAGTTGTCTGAAACAGGGTGGTGACGAGTTTCCCGCCGGCAGGTATGCGGTGGAGATCGGACAAAGACAGGTACTCAAGGAGTACCTGGTATCGAATAACGTCGGCGAGGTTACTAGAAGAAAGGTGGTTCCCCGGCGTGAGATCGCCGGCGGAACTACGCAAGAACGCGTTGGGAACCGCTAGGAGCGTGACAGAGGCGCGGTAGGCCAGATCAGCAGCGATGCCGGTGGTTGTCAAGAGCTTCGTGAAGTCCGAGAGATCGGGGCACGAGTTTAACAAATCGGTGACATTAATGGACAAAATGGGGAGATGGTAAGAAGAAAAGAGGAGTAAATAGAGAAATGGCAGAGGGGTATAATTGGGAATGGAGGTTGAGATGGCCATTTCTGCTTCTGTGGAGTGCAGTGAGCTGGGATAAGTAAGAAAAGTGAATGTCTTGGTTTGGTAGGGTGGGGTGTCGTTGCCAGGAGTGGGGGTGGTGAGGGGGGTGATGGGAGAATTATTCTTGAACCACTCGCTCGTTGTGAATTTTAGTGATTATAATTTTATTTTCATTTTTAGTGTTTGAAAAATCTGATAGGGGCGACACGATTAATCTCTAGGGCACCGCACCTAACACAGGAAAATTGCTTGAGTTGAGGAGGCTTCAACTTGAAGCAAATGGGGGGTTAAGTATCATGATGCAACTAGTACTTGATTACATATTATTTTAGATGATTGTCTAAATGGGATTTAAAATTTCATTATGTAGCGCTTTTATTTTCATAAGAAGGCATATTTGAATGATATATTGATAAAAATTGTGTGATTAAGAAATTAAAAAATATTTTGAATTTGCGTGTAATATTATTTTATTGAAAAATGCATAGTTGAAATGATTTCAAATCAGTATTTAAGAAAGTTATTCCATATTTACCAAATGAGTGGTACTGAATGGTGTTCCCCTCTCACAAATGCATGCGGCCCTCACGTTAATTTAAAAATGTCGACATGTGGTCACCAACCCTGTTGTAAGTAGTAGGTAAAAAATTCGATAAAAAAATTTGGTATGTTTAGCATTGTCTGTTTAAGAATGCATTTTTTTGAAAAAATGCAGGTCAAACAATGCCGTAATATTGAAAGGGTATTCTCATCATTTCACTTTGTTGACCACGTCTCAGGTTGTGTTAGAAGTCAAGTAGTTATCGAAAAAAAGGAAGAAAGTAGGAACATATTTTGTATTTAAACGAGTGAGAGAGAAAATGAATGACTATTTTACGAATTTTTAAAACACTTTTGTACAAATGTATTATTTTTTACAAAGATAGCGCCGCTATTAGTATACCCCATAATAAGAAGAAATTACACACCATGTCAATTTTTCAATTATCATTTGCAAAAATATCACCTTTCAAAACTCTTTACAAAAGTGTCATATTTGTTCATTTTTACCGTTCAAAAGAACTTGAATACCTTGCGTGTCCCTTTTTGATAATTGTATAAATGTCATACCAAATCTTGGAAAAGAAAAAAAAAGTCGTCTATTGTGAAAAGGAAAGAAAGAGGGAACGAATCCCGACAGATGGCTACAACATTTTTCGACAGTTGGGTGAATCCCGACAGATAAGCTGTCGTTTCTGACAGTTAGTTGCAGACATTCTCAACAGATGACAGATGACACTGTCCTGCCAGACGAGTGCAGTCATCTGTCGACACAAATTTCGGTGACAGTGTCTCGACACATAACTGTGGGTACTAACGACATTGCACGTGCGTTTGGATATAACACTGGGGTTTACTGGCAAATTTTCTGTGTCCGTAATATGCATATGAATTATAATCATTTCTCAACTACAAATATGTTTGGTAGTATTAATGGTTATAATCATTTCTCAACTGCCGAGAAACTTCAAATGTGTTTGATAGCATTAATGGTTATAATCATTTCTCAAATACAACAACTACAACATCACAACCTATTTCTAGAAATAAATGACCGAATGCTTCATTAAATATAAAATACTTTACATTTCCCTAAATATTTTTGGTATGTTTTTTCTTCAAAAATATTAAAAAAATAAAAACATAATGATTAATAGTAGTGATTATCATATTATTTTTAACATTTTAAAAAGAGTAAGCTATTATATAAAAATATAAACAATTCATAATAACTGACCTTTCAAAATATATGAAGAAGATGAATGAAGTAATGTCTTCTTGATCAAGAAGAAAATGGATGAAGAAGATGAATGAAATAAGGGTTTGTTTAATAAGAATTTTTTTTTTTTATGTTAACTAGGGTTTTTAAGGATTTTATATTTATTTTTTATTAACTAAATTCATATTTTATAATATAATATTCATATATTCAATGATTATAATATACAAATTAAACAATCAAATCGCAACATTAATTGTTTTGAAAAACAATCATGAAGGAGCATTAAATGCTCCAAAAAAGTCAAATTAAGGGTAATTTAGATATTTCACAACAAGAAAGTGACATTTTTGTACAAATTGTGTACACATCAAAGTTTTTTGTGCATTTTCAAAAAAAGTGACATTTTTGTAAATTCCCCTTAGTATAATTGTGTAACTTTTTTCAAGCGATTCTCTAGAAGGGATTTTGAGCCTCGTTTTTAAGCAGTGTGAGGATTTTTATTTTTTTTATTTATTATTATTATTATTATTATTATTATTATTATTATTATTATTATTATTATTATTTGTGCTACCTCCTTGACCTCAACTTCCATAAGGATAACATGGCCAACAAGCAAATACTCCAAGTAGATAACTTTTTTGCGTACGGTAGTAAATTATTAGTCACTCATAAACTTTAGTTGAATGTGGAGGCAATCACTAGTACTCTGATGGTCATGTCAATGAATGTTGAAGAAGAAAGGAAATAACATAATTTAATTTCAAGACGATAGAGCAAAGTGTATGTTTATGCATATTATTGCATTATCTTTGAAATGGCACTAAGTGTGGATTTTTATAGGGAAAAAGGTGAATTTGAGACTGTTGGATAGAGGGACACATGGCCGCACCTGCTGGGCGAAGCATCATTTCCTAAGTATTAATCAATCGGTCCCTAGATGGACGGACATTTAATGCTCTCTAATGACTAAATTTTGTGACTTGACCGTTTGGCGTCTGCTGCATAAATATTACATCATTCGATCATATGGATCTTATTTTTGGTTGAATCTTTGTACAAAAGATTCCCAATTTAATATACAGGATGTGACGTAATAGTATTCCTGTAGCGTTGTTCCGCCTCTTACCCCTTCGCGTATATTCTTCTAAGGCAAATCACTTCGGTGCCTTTGCCAACTGCGGATATATATACATATACATGAACCACTTCACCTTGGCACTTCGATATACAGGATGACGTGGAGCGTAGACCTTGTTGATTTGTTTAGCTGTCTGCCACGTTGGTGAGTTCTAGAACCTCTTCATAGGAGGGGTTACAATAGTTTCCCAAATTCATGTATGAATATTTATATAAAGTATGGATGCGTTGGCTCGAAATATTTTATCTTTCGTCGTGCATTTGGAAACTGTTGAAATTTTTTACCACAAACAAGTTTTGCTAAAATGAAGCCACAATTTTTTTCTTCTATCTTTTATCTTAACTAAGTAAAAAAATAAATGCATATAGTCAACAGAAGAACATATCTTCTTCCTTATGCTTTCAATCCTAACCCCGATTTGTTTACCTGGTCCCGCATTTGGAGATTAGGGTAATGAAGACCAAGAAGAGGATGAGGGCATCTATAACCCATTCTTATTGCACCAAAATTCATCAAATTGCATCAATTTTATGGTATAATTTATCTCCAACCTATTGCACCATTTTGCATCAAAATATTTATATACATTTTTTCCTTTCCCTTCCACTTTGCATAAAATTTTGTTAAGAATATTTATGTCCATTATTATTATGTAATCAATAATCATTAAAAATGAATCAAAACAAAAGTAGTCAAGAAGTTTTAAAATGTAATAAACACAATCACTTTTCAAGAATTCCTTGTTAGGGCAGGACATAATCCGATTTAGTTCGGTTCTAACGAGAATCGAATTTTCGGGTATCTAGTAAGTGGAATCGTCGGGGTCCAAATTTAATTGTGGAATTGTTTGGGTTCCGTTCCATTTGGTTCGGTTCGGTTCGGTTCGTACGGTTCCATTCGGTTCCAAGGTTCCCTATTATAATTAATTTTTTTAATATTTACAAAGTTACATTAATTTAACTAATGATATGTTAAATTTTAGCTCTTACAAAATAACGTAGTCCAATATTATGTGTCTTTTACGTTTTTCTTTGTTGGGTACTTCATTGTTAAAATCACCGAAAGAAGAAGATAGCGAGCTCAAAATAATTAAAAGAGACATTGTCGAGCTTTAATTCGATTTCTCCAAAATAGTAGAAACGACACTACGTAGAATAACAGATTTGAATAAAATTTAGATCAATTTGATTAAGTTGGCTTTAAATTGAAAATTAGAAATAGGAAAATCATATTATTTTGTTTGAACTAAATTAATTAGTTAACAAATTTATTTAGAAAAAATAAAATAATTTTACTTATTTAAAATAAATAAATTAAAAAAATTAGGGAGATTTGGTTCTTCGAGTCTTGATTTAGAATCGAGAACCGAATCGAACTCGTCGGTTCTAAATTCAGATAACTGTTCATGTATTTAATTCAAGAAAAACTGCTAGATTCAATTCGGGAATATTGTCCAGCCCTATTCATTACTCTTCATAGACTAATCAAGGATAAAGAGGCTCACATTGCACTTCAAAATGCATTAATTGATCATTTGTGGGATACTGGGATGCGTATATGAATTTCAAGAATTAAATTACAACATTAGTTCGATTTCATAATATTATGATATTAGGATTCAAAAGGTATTGCACTACTTTTTAATAACATGATCTCATATTTTCTTAGTTCTGGTATTTCTATTAATTGTACTATATCTTTTAAATTTGTTAATGAATTCAATATTATCAATAATTTAAAGTAATTATTTATTTAGTAATTTATGTAGTTGTAATATAAATAAATAAATAAATTTTCAAATAATTAAATTGTTAAAAATGAAAAAATGATTAAAATCTATTCATTTGGTGTAATGGATTGGAGATGATTTTCAATTTGATACGAAAAGATGCAAAACTTGCCTCAATTTTTTGTGTATAGCCGCAGATAGCCTGAGATATTCTTTTTCACTTTTTCTTTTTTAATAAATTCATTTTGAGGAAAAAATAGAGGCAACTTGACGAAAATACATTTTATTAAAGTGTATGCATGTGGCATATGTGCCATTTTACAAGAAAAACTAGTGGTTTCCATATGGTAAAGATCATTGTAACCAATTTTGCAATAGTTAAATAACTTAAAAGCATTAGAAATTGGAATGGAATGGACTAAGTGCTATATTTTAGATCGTTGATTTGATTGGATGGTAGAATGGATGCAGGAGATACTCCTTTGACGCGAGACTAAACAGTTCAGACACTAACAAAGTGATCAAAAAGCTCGCAAACGGGCAATTATACTCTAGCCCAAGCACGATCAAAACTTTTGCAAGTAAATGATAAAAGAGACTAAAAAGGGACACAATCAAATGACAAGAAACGTATGGAGTAGTATTTATTTTCCCTCCAAAAATTAGCATGCTCGTTCCTTGTTCTTTTTCTTGGGCTTTCTCCTCTTTTTCTCTATATGTATTTTTTCTATTGTTTAACACATTTCTCTCTTGTTCCTTCTATAAGGGGAAGGTATTTGTAGAGTTTGGAGATGAAGTGGTGGTCGTTGGATCCAAATCACGTGCCCTTACCTCCTTCTTCTATACATAACATCATTTTTACACATGCATTTATTACATTGATAAAGAGTCAACCGCCCTATATTTCTAGGCTGAGATTCCTGACACAAGATAAAATTAACGTTTGATCAGCCTTTCATAAAGAAATTTGCCAGGTCAGCAGATATGACAACCTCTTTGTCTCTTAGGGCTTCTTTCATAACTTTGGTTGGTGGTGAACATATAGACTTCGACATAGACCTTTCGCCAAAGCCTTGGCATATGCGGGGTTGAGTGACACCTTGGCTAGAATAAGGACTTCGGCTCTGTAGCCTATGTAACCTCATTGCTTCGCCTTTTCGCATGTTTTAGGGCTGACTCTTTTGATGATATTAGTGGGGTTTTCGTGTGTTGCTTTTTGATGGCCAACTTAATACGGGGAGAAACACATGTCATCATCTATTGTAATTGTGTCATTAATATTATTAATTGCAATGATCATATCACAACGTCACCCTACTAAAATAAAGGTATCTATGATTCTACATACGTATTTGGCTATGCTTTTGCTTCTACCTCAACTTCTGGTAGAAGAGTTTTTCAAATAAACTCGTTTGAGTCAAGTTTTTAAAAGCAACTTCTTAATTTTAGAAGCAAGTTTTGACTTTGGAAAAGCCTTCCAAAGGCACCTACATAATCAACTTCACACTTTTAAGTAAAGCCCATATATATATATATAACAAAGCACTAAAATGGTATATAATTTTGCTAATTACTTATAACCAACTACATTTCAGGATTAGAATATACTAAAAGATAGAAAATTAGTAAAATAATTCCGTGTTTTTCATGTGGTAGATCAAATGTTCAATTTGTGATAAAACAAAGAATTAACGTAAAATAAATAAAGAGATATCTATTATTAATGATACAACTAAGAACAAAATAAATCAAGGGATGAATTAATTAGTAACAATACTGATTATAATAATTAATATCAATTTGACAACAAAATTGTCTTGGAGACTTCAAGGGGATTTGACCGTTCAAAGTCGACTTGTTATCTAGAAAGTTGAAAATGAAAAACGTTTTTCTTTCTAGAATCCTAAAGTTTAAACTTCAAATCCTACGAATTAAGATATTGTAAAATAATTAATGTATGTGCACACTAAGGTTGAAGATTAGAAGTAAAGTTGTGTCGTACTCCGTATGGTCCAATTTGGCGCAGAATTTAACTCTTAGAAAGATTGGACACGTTGGTCTTCTTTGACTTTGACTAACTAGAAAGGGGGAAACAAGTAATAACAATAATAACAATGAAATGTTATTTGTTACAACTTTCTCAAATATTTATCCTTATTTTTTACCAAGGATCTACATGATGGATGATGTTGAGATATATTGTGTATGATTACTTTTTTTGATACTACTTATGTGAAGTTTTGACGATCGTACCACGTATATTGAATGATCAATTTTATTGGTACAATTTAAGTTCCACATGTTAGTTGATTTCATTTGAAAAAGAAATGACTATAGCTACAACCTTATCAAATTTCCCATATATTACACCTATAAATTATGTGACATGCTTAGATAAAGGACAACTCACATATGTCGACTTGGCATCAGTTATTCAGTTTGATTGGGCCTATTTAATTAAACAACCTCATATTGGGTTTGGAATTCGGCTCATTAGCACCACTTAGCCCATTTTTCATTTCACTATATATATGTGATCCATTTTACAATCGAAGATATGAATACTAAATCCTAATCAAATCTCTTATGCTGTCTTTTGCACTCATATTATCTCTTGTCCTGAAGTGCAAATGGGTGTCAAACTTTTTTCTTTACTGGAGGTCTTTGCCTCCTATGAGCCGTTCAATGTGCAGGTGATGCCTAAATTGAGAGGAGGTAACTTGGATTTTGTTGGAGCATTTTTTGAGATCAACACCATCTTTTCCAGAGAACCTTGAGCTGGACTAATTATAAAAACATGCGCACTAGTAGTTAATAAATATGCTTGATGATTGGTCTTGCTTGCTTGATGCATGAACGAATTCGTCTCACGAGTTATTTGAGTGAAAAGTTTAACATTTGTACTTTTATCAAACGTGTCTAAATAATTGAAATTATAATTCTGTTGATTCAATTTGCTTAATATCATATTGCGTTTCTTCATAAACACAACTGACTTTTGTGTTTGTTAAACTACCTTTTGATTTCAATTTGTTGATCCCAAATCCTTGATGACTCAAATTTTTTCTACAGATTTCAAAATCGTTGAGTGAACTCACAACCTTATTACACAAAAATTTTCTTGTCCATTTATCACTCATTTGATCCTCGATCATTTTTGTTGTCATGTTGTGTGACATTGCTAATAGAACTAAGTGATATTACACCCAGGGGCGGACCCACATGGGGTCATGTGAGGTCAAATGACCCCACAGTTTTCTGGAATTTTTTTTTTTTTTGAAAACTTAATTTTCTGCCCTAAAAAGTCCAAATCCTAAATCTATATCCATATCACATGGTCCATATCCATTATTTAGTCCATAAATATATCATATAATCCACCGATTTCTTCACGAAGTACAAATATCGAATATAAACAACAAACAACCGATTTTTCCTTTTTGTTCATGATACGTTGTTCGAAAAAACTATTTTTTGACCCTACAGTTTGAACGGTCTGAATCCGCCCTTGATTACACCTCTACAGCATTGTAGAAAAATTTTGTCGAAACACTTTTAACTTTCTAAATCAACTTATTCCGGTATCTTGTTTCTTTACATGTGTTTTACTATATCAAGTAGCACTAATTTATGTTCCCTTGTCCAAGAAGGATCTCATTACAAAATTAGGGATCTGACGGTAGTTGGTCACCTCTATAATTTCTGGTAATCTAACCTCGTTTTAAAGTTAATTCGTTGGCCCATTCTTCAATGAAAGATTAGTTGAGGGCAAAGGGCGCCTGAAAACATTGGCGACTGCTGCTTTTATACGACCTTAGTATTCTTCTCCATTTCCTTTGTTCTCACATACGTTAAAAACGCAGGAAAAATTTCCTTGGAATATTCAATAAACGTATGGGTCTTGAGCTCTACGGCCGCCATAGCCCCTAAACTCCTGCATGAAAATTAGAATTTTTCCTTCTACCTGTTCCATTACGGCCTTAGTTTAGCCTACCTCCTGCGTAGTTTTTGTCCAAAAAGGTTAAAATTTTCTCTAATTCTTAAATGTTTATTTTTTGTTTGGTTTGTTCACTGTTCCATTAATATCTTGCTTCCCTGCTGGGTTTTGTGTTTTTTAAAGAAACGTGTGAACAAAATTGAATTTTCTGGTTGCGTGTTTTCTTGTTGCGAAAAAAAATGCCCTTAGCTGATCGTAAATTTATTGACAGCAAGGCTAATTTTGCCGTTGTTTATGCTTTTTTCGTCGAAGTTATGTTTTTTTCCATTGAAATTCCCTTTTCAAGTTTATTGAGTTGAAACTCTCTTTTTTCTGCGAGTCAATTCTTATTGTGATCATGATTTAAATAATATAGATGCAAAATTAGAGAAGAGATGAAGAAAGAACATTTGATTTTGGAACAGCCAAAAGTTAATTTTATAATTTCAAACCAGCGACTTTAGTTGCCTAGTATGGTGTTTTTAATTTCCATCTTCTGTATGAATTTTGAATAACAATTTTTTTTGTGCAGTATTCTGTATGAGCTGAGGATTTAGAGAATGGGGAAGCATAGACATGTTGATGATGAACTGGAAGGTAAGCAGCCGGGCTGCGTGTGGGGATTAGTCCATGCCCTCGACTATCATCATTGGCATTCCAATGGCCGAAAAATGATCCATCGCCAAAAATATGAAGATCAAAGACAGTCAAAATGTAAGCCGTTTTCATTTACATTTCTTGATTTTTGTTGCTATATCACTCTTGAGTTTGGAGATTCTAAATTCGACGAAGTGCTTTATCTCTGTCTGTAAGAATTTATTTCAATGTTCTCAATTTTTTCCGCACTCAATTTCTGCAGCTTATGGAAGTTCAAAAACAAAATTGTTTGAATCTGGCGAAGTAGAAAAGCTTTTAAACGAGCAAGAGAGCAAATTTGTTGTAAGTACTAGTACAAATCTAGTATGCAATTGATTATTTTTGAAGTGATGACTAATAATAAAATGAATTGGATTGATCAGAGTGATAGAAGTTCTCGCTTGACCAACAGACAATCTCTAAAAGCACGCATAAAATCACTGGTTGCTGAAGGGAATTCCAAAAAAGAGGAGAATAGTTTCTCGGTCCCATCAAGATTGCAGCGAACTTATTCAATTCACCATCTGGAATCTGCAGATGGCGGTCTTCATAAAATACTCACGGACTGGAAACATCCTATCATTTTCCTTCCTGACAATGGTACAACTCAATCATTGGATACGTCAAAGAAGGCTGCTTTCGAACAGCAAGAAGTTAATAATGATCAATTCGTGAATGGTGCCGAAGAGGGTGAAGATGTTCTTGAGATGTTTAAGGTAGATAAGGACTTATTTGTAAAAACTGTAAAAGGCTCGGATAAAAGCAGCAAGGAGTTCTCTGATAGTCCTCTGGCCTCGAATAAAACAGTAAAATTGAGCAAATCGAAATCCTTCCCCGCTGCTGATTTGTTGCAAAGGAGAAAATTAAAGCCTAGTAAACTCGAGCACAAGAAGAATGAAATTTGGTCATTCCGTGAAGGAGACAGGTTGCGAGCTTTTCATCAATCACCTCAGTTGGCTCATTCAGAGAAGGAGATTGTTGAAAGACAGAATGAGACGATTGCCAGCGGTACCGATGAATATAACATTAGAAAAAGTACGAGCATTCACCGCAGAAGTTCTTCACTGAATGAATCAGTGGATAAATATGCTTCGTTGTTTGCAAGTACTTATGGTGCAGAAGTCAAGCTACATCCATCTAGGAGCTTAAAGTCGATAAATGAATATGGCCATGCTCCAATACACTTCAGAAGGATTCGCTCTCTATCTCAGGTTGATTATTATTATTCTGATCACAAATTTGGAGTTCTGGGCAACGATTTCTCAGCAGATGGCACAAATACGAATGCAGAAGAAAGTAGTTCATTTGGGGCTGGAGAGAATGCACCACTTGATTCAAATGAGACAACCAAAAGCCAAGAAGAATCAGTAAATAAACATAATTGTATGCAAAGAATAGAAGACGAAGCCAGCTTAAGATTGAATTTAAGGCATGAGGATGGTTCTGTTTTGGATGGTAGTGCAGAGGAAATGGATGAGTTAACAGTGGGCGAAAGTGATTCCCACAGGGTCCTCGAGATCTACCCCGAAAAGCTTCCAGAAAAACGTCATATCTCAGATTCTAAGACATCCTTGCGAGAAATGGTATCTCACCTCGTAGATTTTGAAATTTCCGAAGGTATTTCTCTTGGCTTAATCATTGCATATTGTACAGTTTCGACATATTTTTCTCTAGGTGGTCTACTCTTACATAAATTTGCATAATCAGTTCTTCTAGTAAAATGGATTGTGAAACTTCTAGGACTGGTTTTTGAGTAACAGTTTCTGAGTCTTGTTTTCCTCCTTTTAATTAGGTTTGGATCGTGAACATGATCATTTCTACCAGAAGAGTTCTTCGGTCGAATCTCATGATCAGAAGAGTTTCTATATGGACTCGTCCTCATCTTTCAACAGCACACTGAATCTTGAGAAAAGTGGATATGCAGACACGAATAACAAATATTTTGGACACGACAATTATCAGAAAGAGACTGATTCTGACTTGTATTATGTGAAACACATTCTTGAAAAATCAGGCATCGTTGAAAATGCCTTCGACATAACATGGCATTCATCTGATGAGCCACTGAGCCCTGAACTGTTTGAGGAAGTCGAGGCTTACTGGAACCACGATCAATCTCAATTAACCGGTTGGCCAGACTTCTATGGCTGTTGGCATCATCGACTGCTCTTTGATCTGGTTAATGAGGTGTTACTACAGATATACGATAAATCATCTCTCTATTATCCGAAAGCATTGTCTTCTAGTTGTTGTACTCGTTCAATGCCAGTTGGAAATCGCTTCATTGAGCAGGTGAGCACAACCATTGGCGCATTGCTTAATTTGAAGCCCGAGGAAAAGCAGATACTGGATTCTATAGTCGCTTATGATTTGGCAAACGATCACGGTTGGATGAATCTTCAGTTAGAATCTGAGACTGTGGCACTTGACTTGGAGGACGTGATTTTCAACGAACTTCTTGAAGAGGTTATGTGCCCTTGAATTTTATCTCTCTATCTCGATTCCTGATCAGTTTGGTACGTAAAACTTTTGTTCTAGATTTACTGTGTATTCGGTAGTGTGATTCTGTAAGGGAGTAGCCACAAATGGGCTACAACTTCGTTAAGCTTCCTGCAAGCAAAAAGTGTTCACGAAAATTAAAGTTATGAAGAAAAAAGTGGTATTGGTTAATGTGAATAAACTTGTTTGCTCATTATATAAGTCTATTCTCAATCAAACATACATTGCAGGTTTGGTAAGTAGTACTAGACAGGGACGGGATAATATAATAAACAAGATTTTTAGCTTATGTTTTATTTAGCAGTACCTTGTCAGTCAGTTGTATTTTTAGTCAAGAAATTTCAGTACCTATTGCCTCTTCAACTAGAAAAAAAACAAATGCAAGATATTGGAAGGTTTTCAATAATGTGAATTTTAACAAATATGAGGAAGCATTATCAGAGGATTCTGCAAGAATAATGTTAATGTTTAGACAATATTATTCAACATGGTATTAGAGCAAACAAAGATCATGGTACTAAGTTTCACCGTAGTATATTTATGAAAATTGTGCTTCGTCATTGATAAATTTGGCCTGCATATTTAAAATTTAAATAAATAAATAACTCTCTTAAACACATAAAGCTTACAAAGTTGGAACGTATAAAATTTCGTATGGCAATATATTCTTGAAGTTTATTAAATTCCTTGTTCGTATTTTAATGATTTTAACAAAAATACTTGTTCATTTCTTTTCAACTTATCCTACTTGTACAAGCCTTTCTTCCACAGTTAGACAAATGAGTTGCAATAGATAGACAGATGAACAAAGCTTGATATTCTATTAAATTTTCAAATATATCGTTCCTCTATTGATACAAACTATATGCATTTTTTAATCTCAATTTATTAGGAGTAGAGTGCAAGAATTTCCTTCATTGAGAAGATGCAGTTGGCGATCAACTATTTCTGAATGTCCCCCTTTCCGTTTGGGTCCGTTGAAAGTTGAACCTTGAGTATTCCTTAACAATAATTATTACAAGATTTACATTTTGTTAATAAAAATGTTAACTTTGAAAAAAATTGTTCCACAAAATAAATAATTTAGAAATGAGTTTGGCTCCCTTTCAAAAACAATCAGAAAAGACTCCTTGTCCCTAATTCTGGAGAGGCCCCTGTCATTTTCTTCTCACTTGCAGCATGCAAGTAATAGTGGCCATTCTGTGTGGAAAACGTCAGAGTACTACATTCAACCCTTGATATTTCGGGGCCATTGCGCAAAATCCTTCGCTTTAAACTCATTTTTTGCACACAAATATCAAATCCCAGTTTGCAGATTTCAGAATCTGGAAAGGAAGAAAAGGTAGAGGAAGAAGAAGAATCAAAGAGCCTAAGCTGGAGCAAATAAAAAAATGGTTCTGTTGATTTGGATACACATCACGATCTTCTTTCATTAAATTTTTTTCCTCCTTTTGGAGCTACCGAAGTTTTTTTTGTTTTAGTCTCCAATTCTAAATGTTGTTCAGTCAGTTGCAAATGAAGCTAGTTTGAGAAAGATAATGAAACAAATGAGAACACGAGCTCAATAATTATAAATCGTGGATGGTGATGGAATGATTGATAAGGGAGAAGCCCTATAGGTCAAAAGAAGTAGATTACTCTTACTTGAGTTCACAACTAAGCTTCATGGAGTCCGACAACGTGAGAGCCTCCTCTCTTGTATCCCATCCAAGTTGCTTTACAACAATCTCCTACTTGCATGCTTGGTAAAAGGCTTTCATTAGCGTACATGAAAAAAAAAATGAAAGAGTTTGGGCATCCCGTTTTCAACCGGCTGATTATATCTCAGCCGCAAGAAAGCTATTCTAAAGAGATTTTAACACAGATGAAAGCTGATAAAGTGGTTCCACTTGTGTCTACCTATAATATTCTGATGAAAATTAAAGCTAATGAACACATTATTGAAGGTTTGGCAATGGTACTTGGTGATTTGAGGCGAGCAATGGTTGAGCCGAATGCAAGTCCTATGTTGAAGCTATAACAGGACAAAACTGATGAACATTTGATATTCTCGTAATATTGTAAGGAAACATGAGGAGCTCGCAAGAGTATGGTACTCAATTCTTGTGCAATCGAAGCATATGGTAAGATTGGAGGCCTAACTCAGTTATGGGTTGAAATGAAATCAACCTAACAATTCAATTCTGTGTATTGTAGAAATTGCCTAATTTCTAAAGCCACTGGATATTACAAAGAAATGGCGGGTAATGGTTGCAAACCAAATGCCAATATGAATGTTATGATTGTTAGAATTGAATGAAAAATATTGAATAGAAGTCTCTTCATATGTTGTAACTCAAGTAATTCAAGTCCCTTCATATTTTTAACTCCTTTATCAATGAACGGTTTAACTCCTTGATTAATGAGCTAGCTTTTCTTCCATTGGTATAAATAGGAGTCTCTCTAAGTTGGAAAATTACAAGTGAAATGCAAGCTTCTTCCTCTAAGCAACAGTCTTCTTTTTCTCACTTTCAAGTTCTTCCTTGTGCTTATAATTTCTTTGTAAGATAGAGTATATTACAGCTAGTTCGCAGGCGGTTAACGTAGTGCAGCGTGAACCGACAATCGATTGTATCTTGGGAATCGAACACCAATCAAAACCTCTTGCACTCCGGTGAGGCGGTGAATTCGATATAAGGAAACTGTGAATACACAGGCCTTCGGTTTGATTTGATTCTCTAATATTTACCTACAAGCTTAAATCGAATTGGCTTTAGTAAATCAAATTTTGTTCATTAGTTTTTGTCAATTTTTCCAGTTCATGGTTTTTGCATGATTTCTAATTCATTTTAAAAGATTGTTAAGTTGTTAATAATTTGACAAAATAATATGTTCTTCAACTTTGCAGTTTTATTTTCTGAACAGATAACTTGATCTCGAATTTATATAAAACTTTACAAACTTATAATTATTCTAAATTATTTGTTGCTTGTTCCGGTTCAATGGCGTTATATGAAAATAACGATGTGAATAACGAAAGCAACACTGTTGGTACCGGTGTACCAAATCCTGCAATGACCATTGTTAACCCTATGAAAACCACGACTGACATTTCTCCCATTGACGGGATAATTGGAGGCTGGATTCCTCATGTTGGAGTGAACCCAACTTTGCATTCGGCTGCGGCCACGGCAATCCAGTTTGGCACAATACATTTGCCAGTGCCTAAGGCTGCGGCTTCGGTACCTTTGCCATCGTTTTCAGATCCATTTTCGGTGAATCATGCAATTCGACCGGATAAGTTTGCTGGTACTGATTTTAAGACATGGCAGAATAAGATGGTTTTCTATCTCACTACGTTGGGCCTTGCACGTTTCCTCACTGAGGATGCCCCTATCGTGGCTGAAAACGACACTAATGTGCATAGGCGTGCAGCTTGGGACGCTCGAAAAAGTGTTGATTTTTTGTGCCGCAACTATGTCTTGGATGGCCTACGGAATTCTCTGTATCACGTATATATGGTAAAGAAGTCTGCTAAGGAGCTCTAGGAGTCCTTAGAAAAGAAATATAAGACCGAGGATGTCGGATCTAAGAAATTTTTAGCCAGTCGGTGTATGGACTTCAAAATGGTTGATTCACGTTCAGTGGTGAGCCAAGTACAGGAGTATCAAGTGCTTTTGCAAGAAATGCATAGTAAGGGTCTGACTATGTCAGAATCTCTACAGGTGGCTACTGCTATTCACAAGCTACCTCCTCAGTGGAAGGCTTTCAAAAGTTATTTGCAGCATAAGAGGAAAGAGATGTCTTTCGATGATTTAATTATCAAGCTGTGCATTGAGGAGAATAACAAACGGGCTGAACATAAGTCAGAGAATTCTTACTCTGAGAAGGCTAATATATTGGAATACGGTCAAAGTTCTGGTACTAAGAAAATTCACTCCTTTAAAGCCAAACAGGGTAATGGAAATCGAAAAGATAAAAAACAGGCTACGAAAGGGTCTCAGTTGAAACCTGCAGGTAGGGTAGGAAAGAAACCTAAGTTCCAGTTCAATAGAAAGTGCTTCAATTGTGACAAAGTTGGGCATCGATCAGCAGACTGCCGTCATCCTCGGAGGGATAATAAGCAGCGTCCTCGGGCTAATATGGTTGGAAATGAGAGAGATCGTCTCTCAGATAAAATGTCTGAGCTAAACCTCATGGCGGTGATTAGTGAGGTTAACCTGGTGGGGTCTAACCCAAAGGAGTGGTGGCTGGACACTGGGGCCACTTGCCATGTCTACTCCAACAGGAGCATGTTCACTACATTTGCATCAGTTACAAATGGTGAAAAGTTGTTCATGGGAAACTTTGCAACTTCTGAAGTGCTTGGTAAAGGCAAGGTGATCTTGAAGATGACATCTGGTAAAGAGCTTACTCTGACTAATGTGTTGTACGTGCCACAGATTCGCAAGAATCTGGTCTCTGGGTCTCTTCTGAGCAAGAATGGGTTCCGCATGGTCTTTGAGGCGGATAAGCTGGTGATTACCAAAATAGGAGTTTATGTTGGGAAAGGCTATACGACTGACGGCCTATTTAAATTGAATATAATTGCCGTAACCCCAACTGTTATGAGTAATGAGAAAACTCCTTCTGTTTACTTGCTTGAGTCTCCTAATTTGTGGCATGGTAGATTAGGTCGGGTAAATTACAATGCTTTACGTAGACTAAGCAAACTAAATTACTTGCCTAAGTTTCAAATTGGTTCAAATCATAAATGTAAACATGCGTTGAATCTAAGCTTAATAGGTCTTTGTTTCATAGTATTGAAAGAAGTATCGAGCCATTGGGACTAGTCCACTGTGATGTATGTGACTTGAAATCTATCCAAACACGAGGCAATAATAAGTATTTTATTACTTTTGTCGACGATAGCATGAGATATTGTTATGTTTACTTGCTTAAATGCAAAGACGAAGCTATCGATAAATTCATTCTTTATAAGAATGAAGTTGAAAATCAATTTAGTAAGAAAATAAAGGTGCTACGGAGTGATCGTGGTGGTGAATATGAATTACTGTTTGGTGAATTTTGTGCTAAACATGAAATAATTCATCAAACTACTGCACCTTATTCACCTCAGCAGAACGGAATTGCTGAGCGTGAGAATGGAACTTTAAAGAAAATGATGAATGCTATGTTGATTAGTTCTGGATTACCACAGAA